CAAAAAAAAGTTGTCATTATCCTTATAAATTATTAAGACCCAAGTCAACTATTCAGCAACAAAAAGTGATTTGTCTCAAAAGGCTCTGATTTAAATGGATGTTGACAATTGACGTTGACATTTCAGTATTGACAATTTGTGAATGTGAAATAAGTAGTGATAACGGTTATTCGGATAAAAGTGATAGACAAAAAGAAAAATAAAACCTACATAAACAATAATTTATCCTGCCGAATGAGTCACCTAAATATTAATTTTGTGTATACCACTACAAGTAACATTATTAAATATCTGTGATACATTAACTTGTGCAGGGCATAAGACTACCGACAACAATTTGAAAAAATATAATTAATAGTGAGGGTAATATAATATCTAAAAAGGACGGAACAAAGAAAACTGTAAGGACAAAGAGAATAATTATACAATATTAAGAGAGATATATAGAAATATATATATGTATGTATGAATGAACATAATCAATGAAAAACTCCAACGAGACTTTAAAAATACCTAGTATTCCTAGTGAATACATATTTAGCGTCTACTTATACCATTAAAGGGTTTCCTTACTATGAAATTGATAGCAACCACGTCTTTGAAATTTCACTAATTAAAAGTAAAGTTCAACTAAGTGCAAAAAAGACTAGAAAAAGGTAAAAATTCGCTTCCAGTTGGTAAGTAGTCAATTCAATTACCTAATGGGTTGCCGTGCGGAACACACCTCTTGCGATGCTACGTGAATGGTCGGAGTCGTGAACATAGTCTCGGAGACCGCGAACTTTTTCCTGCGATACTTTTTTTCTTTTCTATATATACATCTTTTCTTCTTTACATACTTTTATATATCTATAGGTATATACAAATATGTATGCATATCCATACAATTATACAATACAATCTATACATAATTAAAATTAGTGTCAACAATATGAATTTTCATAATTTTTGTCTATCTCTATATCTGTTTGTTCCGGCTAATCTTGGAAATGGCAGGACCGCTTTTAAGCGGTCTATGTAATAAGGAGTAACTTCTCTCTTTATTTTACTGTTTGTAAAATAAAGAGAGAAGTTACTCCTTATCTTTTATTTAGGTCTCGTAAGAACACATTCGCTCGCGCGATAGCGATAATCAAATTTTACGCGGATGAAGTCGCAGATATATGCTAGTTATAAATATAATATTGCAATTGTATTTCAGATTATTGATGCTGCATAGTCAATTCTATTTTTATATCTTCTCATTTTTGATGTACTGTTGTATTAGTTATGTTTTTGGCATTGATGATGACGTGATGCTGTACAGAATTTTTAATTCAAAATAACTAGAATTAATACATATCGATCATTGAGCACTTACATAGAGAATACTTACTAAGAAATAAAGCAATTAATAAAAATCAAAGAATATAATGGGTTTCTGCAAACACAAACGAACTATTATTGTGGGAGAGCCATGCTGCGGCAGTTTACTAGAAGCCCACTCAATCCCCTACCTCTCCTCCCTTCCCTTCCGAATCTGACTGATTTCTGATGGTACAAGCACTGCCCACAGCAGCAATATCCATGGGCAGCACTGATGGCTTACCAGGTAATCCGTATACTCGTTTGCCGCCGAATAACATAAATAAAAAAACGTGAACATATATTTTAGGCAATAAGATTTTAAACATTAATTGTCTAAAAGCTATTTCAGTCTGTTTCTTACTCTAGTAACATCAGTTAATTTGAGAGATCGAATAATTTAGAGCATGTCGAAATTAACAGCGTTGTCTGATTAGTGATCCAGAAACCAAAGATAATGTTTTCATTATGTAACCTTGGCTTCACACAAGCACTGTCAGAACACAATTACGCTAACCTATTTCACAAACACGAGTATTATAATCGTTTTAGCATATTAAAAAAGTTTAAGCGTGGAAGAGCCATGCTTCGGCACGAATGGGCTGTCTCAACCATAGTGATACCACGACCTTACAGAAAACTAGCGTGAAGCAACACCGACGTTGTGTTTTGCCATGTGAGTGCGGTTACTGGAGGCCCAATTCTAATCTTTTTCATTATCAATCCTCAAATCCCCTATCCTTAAATCTCTCGTAACTCACAAGAAGCCGGCAACGTACTTGTAGTAACTCTTTTGGCACTACAAGTGTCCATGGGCGGCGCTGATGGCTTACCATCAGGTAATCTGTCTACTCGTTTGCCGAACTGCGACATTAAAAAATAATTAAAAAAGATGTTGCCGTATAAATTGGTGTCTAGCTCTCGGTGTATGTTGCCGCGCCTCAACCTCTTTCATGAACTTCGTCTGTTTACGTTGCCTGAGTAAAGTCTGAGTCTAAACATAGATTTTAACAACGTTTAGACACGGAATGAGCCTCGCCTATGAATAAAACTACTATGTTGACTTCAATTAAATGACGAAGCTAGTTTAAAAATTAAAAAGCTTCGTGAAACGTCTCTGATGTTGACACCTTTGAGTTCGAACTTGAATTAAAATGAATACTTTTTCATTTTTTTTTTTTTGCAAAAGTTTAATGCTTGCTTTAGTTTTTGTTTCGTGTGCATCTGTTGGCAACATTTAACAAATTGTGGTGCCCTAGATACTTTGCAAGTGTTATGAAACGTGCCTTGTAAGTGATAATACAAGATTCAGTGAAAATACACCTCTAGCAATAACACCTTACAATTTTACAATGAATTTAATAATAATCAAACACCTTTGTACTTCTTGTAAGTAGTTTATCATCATTTATTCTTGGGAAATACAGAGAGAAACTTATTAACAAATGGAGTGCTACTAATGGAACAAATTCTTAAAAAAGATCATCTCGACCTCGAAGACCTCGGCTTCGCACGGGTGCAATAGTGATTTTAAATTTCTCCACTATTCTAATGGATTTTATTATACATACAAACCTTTCTATCACACTATATATAAAAAACGCATCAAAATTCGTAGCGAAGTTTAAAAGATTTAAGCTTTCATAGGGATAAAGGGACTGAGAAAGCCACTTTGATTTATACTATGTGGTGATAATGATGATGTACTAACAAACACAAACTTTTTATTTAAATAAGATTTTTTAGGTTTTTATTTAAAAAAATACGTTGCTGCTATCTAGCAGAACCAGACCCGAGCGTACGGCGCGTAGCGTTCTGCGTGCGCCTTAAAGAGCCAATAGACCATCACAGACGGAGCCCTATAGGGTTGATGTTTTTTTTTATTATTATTTAATAGGTCGGCAAACGAGCAGACGGATTACCTGATGGTAAGCAATCAGCGCCGCCCATGGACACTCGCAACGGAGGAGTTACGAGTGCGTTGCCGACCTTTTAGGGATTAGGGATTTGGAGATTTAGGGATTTAGGAAGGATTGGGGGAGGGGAAGGATTGGGCTTCCGGTAACCTCACTCACACGGCGAAACAACGCTGTGGTTATTTCACGCCGGTTTTCTGTGAGGCCGTGGTATCACCCGGTCGAGCCGACCCATTCGTGCCGAAGCATGGCTCTCCCACACTTAAACAGATGTTCAGCTGGAGTTGCGGGTTAAGCGCAATGAGTCATCGCGGCCTCGGTCCAGAGCACGAGGAGGAACAGGGGGTTGTCAGACAGAACCTACCGAAGCTGCCGTGTACGGTAAGCACCTGCGTCAGGCGAAAGGTGAAGACGCCATGGCTTTCAAGCCACATAGTTAATGTTACATTATCACAAAACAATAAGAAGAGTATAAAATGCATATTATTGTAATTTATTACACACTTTGTTACACGTTGAACTAATAAAAGCATGTGTAATAGCATACTTATTACTTACCTTTTAAACTTGCTCAACATTCAAACCATCAATTAAATTATCGACGTTATCCACAAAAATTTAGTTTGAATCGGTTCTATTGAACACATATCTATAGAGATTATTTGATCAAGTTTTATTCAAAATCGTGCATTATATTTATATTTTTAAAATACAATTTCCACGGTCATAAATAACCTCATACCAAACTGTTTTCATCTGTTGAAACGTATTTTATTGTTTGTTTTTCTCTGTTTGCACAACTGTTCTGTATTAAAGTATTTATTCGACTTACAAATAAAAAATGCCAATTGGTACCTAATTATTCTTTATATAACAGCGATACTGACGATACGATAGGAGGGATGAAAAGCATGTAACATAAAGAGTCATGAGTATAAATGTGGATGGATGGAGAGGGAGGGGGACACCAAAGAAAATATGGATGGATTGTGTGAGAAGTGATATGCAAGACAGAGGAGTTAGCGATAGCGTGACGAGTGACAGGACAGAATGGAAGAAAAAAACATATTGCGCCGACCCCAAATAAAGCGGGACAAGGGCAGGAAGATGATGATGATAACAGCGATACTGACACGTCCTTATTTGTTTCTGTTTTTGAAACGTGGTCTCGCACTAGAATTTTCTGTTGTGTGGGTGCAAACATAATAATCACATAGACATCACCACCAGATCTAGAAGCTAGTAGATCACAAAAAGAGTTGTATCATGTGAAAATCGAATTAGCCAAACGTCTCATAGTAGTTGGTTGCGTAACTACTGCTTCAACAGACAATACTGACAGTCGTCTATAAAAAAATATGAAACGATTACTTTGAAAGAGCCACCACGACAGAGACCTTATACGAACAATACGGTAGTTTCCAAATAGTCAAATTCAATACTTTTATCAAAATGTCAAAAACTATACTTTATATGAAATTTGTATGGAACTCCAAATTATGACTACTTATTTCGTAAAAATTTGCTTTTTTTTTGTATCGAAACCCCGAATTAATGTATTTTTAACTTAGAAAACTACCCTATCTACGAGTAATTTTCCTTTACTTCTGTCCAATTTTATTGTCCTTTACTTCTGTTTACTAGTCTAGGTTATTTAAACATTCAATTATTAAAAGGCCAGGATAAAAACACAAATGTAACAAAATAACAAATTTATTAACATAAAAACGATGTAAAATATCAGCTTATATTATAATCTTCTTTGATTAGTTCCGATCCTCGTTCACCCACCATAATGCAAGCTCCATTGATGTTCCCACTTATGGTCGAAGGGAAGATCCCAGCATCAATCACACGTAGATTACTGACACCGTGAACTTGTAGCCTACTGTTCACTACTGAAGTACTAATATCAGTACCCATTTTACAGGACCCCATGGGATGAAATATTGAGGTTACCAAGTTTACACAAATACATCTCCAATAATCTTCACTGTCTAATTCATACTCATTGCATTCCGGCACGTCCATCCTTCCCAAGAAGGCATTGATCATTTTGAAATATGGGGTTTCCAAAATTTTCGTTGCCATTTTAATACCATCTACAGCTACATCTAAATCTCTACTATCGTCGAAATAGTTCGCGTAAATGAGAGGTGGATCTTTAGGGTCATTGGATTGCAAAGAAATGTTACCTTTGGAATAGGGATGCAAAAGAATGGCTTCAAAGAAATAAAGCGCGTGCTTTTTATTGAAATTTGTTATCGATTCTATTATAGTGTCATTGTATCGAAAAGTTGCCCGTAGAACACTTTTAAGTAAAATGTTATTTTTATTTATGATTGATAGATGGTTTTGAATGTTAGGAAATGAGGCATTTTCGACGGTAGAATAAAATGCAGCGACATCCGTTATTATGCTGCTTTGTGCCAACAAACCTTCTCTTTTTGTAATATATTTAAGAATATCTCCCATTAATTCAAGTAACGATAGCTTCCCAGGTGCATCGCCATAAACTGTTATCGGCAATAAGGCATGATCTTGAAGATTTTGTCCAACCATCGGAGAATCAACTAAAGTTTCTATATTTTTTGATTCAAGATGCTCCTTTGGGCCTACTCCAGACAACATTAAGAGTTGCGGGGAACTCACAGAACCAGCGCTTAAAACTACCTCTTTCGACGCATAATAAACCTTTTTTTCTCCATCTTTCTCAACTTCAACACCATACGCTGATAAAGTCTCGTTTATCAAAATTTTGGTGACTAAACTATCTTTCATTATGACTAAATTTGGTCTGTCTCTGACTGGCTGAAGATATGCCTTATTAGTGCTCTGTCTTACTCCATTGGTTGCCGTGGCCATTATTACGCCTGAGCCTAAAAAGTTCGCTGCTTTTAAATCAGAGACTTTCTCAAATCCAATTTTATCCCATGATTCAACGACATAATCTGTATAAGTGCGGAGAGTATGGTTGAATTTATTGATTATACAATGTCCTTCATGGCCGTAAACATCTTTAATGTTTGGATCTTCCAACATTGCCTCATTTTGAAGATTCTCAGCTTTCTTGAAACATCTATGTACATGTTCTACACTCCATTCTTTGTTTCCAGCGTCATACCAGTTTTGGTAATCTTGTGTGTTACCTGGTACATAAGCTAAAGCATTTATACTACTACTGCCTCCAAGCATCTTCCCTTTTGTCCATCCCACAGAACCGTCTTTGAGGCCTTGGCTTGTGATTCCATTGTTAACTGTTGTGTATTGCCAGTCATTCTTGCTCCCATACAAAGCTGTTTGAAGTCCAGGTATCTAAAATTGAAAAAAAATTGTTAAACTGGTAGGTGTTATGTCCATAATGCAAAAATACATAATTATTTGATAATATAGATAGATATTTCATTCAAATATCAAGTTGATAAATTCACCTAACACTCCTCAAGCATGAGATGTGGGTTGAAAATCCAGGAAATAGTCACTAACGAGTAATTTTTTTAGTTACGAATTAAGATTAATTGAACTATGTTTGATGACACGTGCAGTGAAGGTAAATATCATAAATAAATATTAATAAAAAAATTTTTTGAAATGACCTGCAAGCAAGCTATTGTTCTTTTTTAATTTTATTTGGAGTCAAAACGTTCATTATGATTTTTTGAATCATCAAAGCATCGATACCACTGTTGATGGAATAGTGTCTTACTAGTCCGGTCACTTTCAAACAATATCCTGCATAAAATCAAATGGAATGATAAGACTAATTAAAGTAATTAAAATACATACATCTGATGTAATTGGCGGGTCTCCTCCAGCTTCTAAAAGCAAAATGTTCCAATTTTCTACTTCACTTAATCTATTTGCAACCACACTCCCAGCAGATCCAGCACCGATTATTATGAAATCGAATTCATCAGAATCTAAAAAGAAAATAAACACAACAATGACAAAATTCCTCATATTTATGAACATTTATAGACATCGATATTCAGGACAACAGATGCAACAGATGCAGAAAATGGGTACCCACCATTGTTAGGAAGAGGTTCTAGCGGTAAATTATCTATGAAGAATAATTTAGCAGCAGCAAAGCATTGGATTACCGCTACTATGGAGCTGGGAGTAATTCCAGAAGCTCCACTTAATTGCGACCAGCACGGGGAAGTGGCGATACTGAAAATATTTATTATAGTTATTTAGTCACATCACATCATCACTGCCCACTGTTGAGCAAAGACCTTATATACGGAGAAGATTTGAGCATTAACCACCACGCTTGCTCAAGGCGGATTGGCGATTTTAAACTTGTAATTAGTTATTATACGCCAAGTTTCCTAACGATGCTTTTCTTCAGCGTATATCAGTGGTGTGTAAATAATCATAGAAAGTACATTTAACTCGGAAAAAGTCACATTGGCACTTGCCAGGTTTAGAACCCTCCTATTAACCTACTGGCTACCATGAAATTATTATATTAGTTCAAAATATAATAAAGCGAAACAAAATTGTGATCACAAACAAACTCACCTTAACGACATCTTTCACGATTACAATTACCATAAGTAGAAAATTTACTGTGGCTTTATATATTCGATCTGATCAGAGTTTTAGGGTTCCACAATCTATGCGTAAAAATAGACAATTGATTTTTTCATCATTTATATTATAATTATTTTTAATTTTCCTAAATAAATGTTGCAATATGCGTAGATATTTTTACATACAGTTAATACACGGACCTATAAGTTAAATGGTGGGTATCAAAATCGATATTATAATAAAACTTATTTCTATTGCTTTTTTTACTTTGCCAGTTCGATCGCCGCATCGAAAACCAGTTTGTTACATGGAAAAAATATTAATTAGCCGGACAATACTTTTGAAACACTTTGTACTCGTAGTATGTATCTATTTAAGAAAAATATATTAAGGAAAGGTTGGCATGCATCGGCAAAAATCGGTTGACTCCACCGGAGTGAGAATGGGAAAGCCACTTTTTGGCACGAATGGGTTGGCTCGACCAGAGTAACACCACGACCTCAAAACCGGCGTGATACAACGACAGCTTTGCGCTTTTTCGTGTGAATGAGGTTATAGGAGGTCCAAACAAATCCTGTCCCTGTTATGTACTGTATTATTAAGGCGGCTAAGCAATACTCTTATATATTAATTTTTTTTAAGTTACAACCCACGCGCTTCAAAGAGCCCAGTCAGTAAAAGTCTGTCGGGACCGACAGACGAGACGGGAGAAGTGATTTGATGACTTTTCCCTAAAAAGAGGGTAAGATACCGTGTGATTAGCTGCATTTAGTGTGTACCTTAGTTTTGCTTGTTATGGGACTATTACCCGACCAGGCCTTGTTAGATATAGTTATTTCAAGAATTTATGAATTCTACCATGGTCGGAACACTAGCAATTGTCCAACTAATACAAGATAGTTAAATACAATTACGTAAGTAAACTTTTAATAACTCTTAGTTATTAAAAGTTTTATATTAATATCTTCCCAAATTTTAAATATCAAAAATATTAACACAGCTCTTTTTTTATTAAATACAAATTAACGCCTAAAATATCCAAAATAAAATTCTTTTTTTAATTCTGCTGCGTCTCAGGCTTTGCTTCTAAATAAGAGTTTCGTTGTGACTTGATTTTCCTTCGCTTCCTAATCATAGCTTCAAAAGTTAAATATAAAAAAATATAATAAAAAATATTCTAAAAATATAATATTTTATATTTTATTATGATAATTCGTTATTATGCAACCAGATGTTCTTCTTTAAACATGTTTACATTGACTTTTTTTGCCGTAGGTAGAATAAATTAAAAAAGTATAAAGTCATATTTTAATGTATACATTATGCAAGTATTTAAAATGCACGGTTATTAACACATACAAAAATATGTATATTAACATTGCAACTGTACATTGAATAATCATTTTTTTTGAAATTAAAATTGCGTTTTTGTTTGGGAAAAATCATAAAATTACTTCTCTCATCTAGGTTCAGGCGCTAGTCAGACTTACTGACTAAAAACTTTTAAATCAGTAAGTCTGACTAGCGCCTAGCAAAAACCCCCTATTCCTTCTCTCGCTCCAGACTGGCCGCGGTAAGGTCTGTTATAGTATAACATTAAATTATATTTTTGGATACATTTGTGAATACCTAAATGACAAATTTTAATCATTTTTGTCTCGCCATATTCGGGTTATAATTGGTCAATTGTGAGAAACTGATTGACTGTTCAATGCATGGCATAAACTACTATGTAGCCCTAAAATCTTGGAATATTTCACTATGTCTACTTTCATTCGTAGTGTACGTGTTGAAAGGATAAGTTTGTTGTAAACTGAATCATATTTTTAGCAAGATCAAATCATATGACAATTAGGTATTAGGTTAAAAATTAAAATTAATCTTTATCATGATTTTTTTTAAATAGCCTTTTAGGGAGTTTGATATTTTTGAGTAAAATCTTTTAGCTACAAGTGGGAAATATGAAACTGAGCAATAATAGGTTTTTCTGACTACATGTAAACATTAACCATACACTTAATAAAACAGAAACAAAAATTAAAATATTTTTCAGATTTAATTGTGCATAACATGGTTAGCTTTACAAAATAATAAAGTACTTCATTTTTTTTTTGACGGTACTATATGGGATAATCATCTACTACGATTCGTGCGAAGCCGCGAACAAAGCGTTAGTTAAGTTTAAATATGTATAATGATATAACAAAATGTCTGTGTAAATGTATGTGTCATTATACAAGTACGCGAAGTGGAGAGCTATATTTTTATTATGATTAATTAATATGATTAAAAATGTTGACATTACAACAAGCGAAAATCATTTATACAGGTTTCGTCCCTTACAGATTACTTATAGTGCGTATAGCTGAGAAGACGCATTTATTACTTCCACAAGTCTTTTGTTGGGTATACATATAAGAGCCGACTGTATGAGTACACATGTACCTACCAAGGAAAATAAATAACGCGTATACCATGTGAAAATATGTCTTTTTGACATTTATAGTCCAGTCAAGTTAAAAGAATTTATTCCAACTAAACCATAATGGTTCGTCAGTGAAGCTAGGTCATCATCATCAGCCTATAAGTGCCCACTGCTGAGCAAAGGCCTCTTCTCATACGGAGAAGGTTAGATCATTAATCACCACGCTTGCTCAATGCGGGTTGGCGATTTCAAACTTATAATTAGAAATTATAAATCCAGGTTTCCTCACGGTGTTTACCTTCACCGTATGTCAGTGGTGTCTAAATATCATAGAAAGTACATATTACTCGGAAAAAGTCATATTGGTACTTGACAGGTTTCGAACCCACGCCCTCATGCATGAGAAGCGGGCTCCTTAACCTCCGAGCCACCACGACCAAGCTAGGTGCTTGGTCGTGGACCAAGCTGAAAGCGTTGGCTGCAAGAAAATCAATCGAATGATTATGCGATCTGTGCGGGCACAAAATTTATTGGAAAACACCAGGAGCATAAAAAAATTAAGTGCCTGTGCAAGTGATTATATTATTAACAGTTCTGGAGCCATTTCATCTTAGCATCATAGCTGTACCTTCGTTCGCATAAAAGTTGGCAATAACTAATAGGTGATCCAATTGATATGTAAAACTAATATCCCCTCTTAAATTTATATTGAAATCGAATATTGTCAGTAAAATAAATTTAAGTTATTAATTTATCAACTAGCAATCATTAACAAGAAATAATATTGCCGTGTTTAAAGAAAATTGCTTATAAAATTATCTTGTAAAGATTAGCAACGTAACCTTCTTCACAATTGCTATTACTTTTATTAAAGGTTTTAGCAAATATTTTTGGTAAGTAATTTATACATTTTAAAGACATGTACTAACACAAGGCGTAAATCATGTTAAGCTATTAGTTTCTTAGAGTCAACCCAAGAGAAATTTTGTGAAACCACCACATCATTTCATTTCACTTGGGAATTATTTTAACTTAGGTAAATATACAGCAATTCGACTTAAATTATTCCTTTATTCAGTTGAGAATTAATACCCCTAAGTGCACCAAAGTGAATTTTAACCCGCGGCGTAACGGAGATGTTATATGCGTTTGGGTGATACGGCAACAACTCACCAGGGGGCGCAACTGTAAACATTTTGAATGCAATCTTATGTTTAAATCTACCTCTAAAATCGTCCATCTAATATTATTGCAGTTTCCAGTGATGAGTTTATCCACAATCGGAAGGAGTTCTTAATTAAATTTTGCGACAATAACCAATTGTTTACTACATAATTCGGCATATTGCTTAGTCACTCGAGCATTGGAGTCTTCAAGCAAGCGTGAAAACAGCATCAAATAGCAGGCAAGGTTTCTGTCATGGCAAGTGGCTGACCGGGGCTTATTATATTCTAAGCAAAACCAGCTTAGTATTGGAGACAAATGGGAAAATTTGATTAAGTACTTCAAACTTTTTTGCGAACACAATCATATACGAGACTATTCTGACATGGAAGACGTTGATGTAGGAGCGAAAAAAAAATACTCATCGAATTGAGAACCTCCTCCTTTTTTGAAGTCGGTTAAAAATGCGATTTTACTTAAAACAGCAGATTTTTATTATAACTTTCGTGAGGCATTCTAAATTAATTATTATGTTTTCGGCTTACTCACGTAATAATTTGACGAGATACTCGACTAGTTTCAAGCCATGCTAGAGGCCCTTATTCATGAGCAGCATTCCGCGTCAAATCATAACGTGAGTAAGCCGAAAACATAATAATTAAAACAGCAGATATTACAAAAACCACTCCATCAGTTTGTACTCCGCGGTAAGTTACACAAGGCTCGCATAATCGTATTTGCAGCTAGCCTACGCACCTTTTGTTTCGTTCATTATTCAACCTCTTGTCTTTTCTGTAATAACTTTAAACCCCTCCTATTATTCTGCCGTCAATAGCATAGTTGCAGTAAGTCGGGTTTTTGTCAAAATTGAGTTAGATATACAGACGTGATCACGAGAACGAGATCTACGTGTACATCTTACTCATTTATTTCTATCGTTTTTTAATTCATATTTAGCAATTAAAAATTTGCAGTAAGTTGAGCATTTTTTTTACATTACAAGGCATTATTACAGTGGGCACACTTACGGTAAAAAATCTTGTTCTGAGTCTCTCAGCATAAGTACAGTATGACTACTATACTACTAATATGTTAAGTCATTTACTTTATTAAAATTGAATTTGGGCCTAGCAAATAAACATTAAGAAGATATACTGTTTTGATCCCAAGCAGTTTCCCAATATTTACTAAATGAGTGGTCTAGTCTTAAAAACAATATGCCGCGATACTGCATGTATGCTTAGTATTGATCCTAAGCGTAGGTTTCAGATTACTTACTACAAAGACAGTTCGATGCGATATTGAATTTATGTTTAGTAACGTAATCAGATCTAACATGAGGTTAATCATTATTTACAGAGCATATAGCCATCCTGTGATGATGTTTAGGCAGCAGTTGTAGCGTAAGAG